ACACGGATCTTACTAGACCATTCCTGAAGTTGCGGCTTCTGCAAGTGAGTCCCAGTGACAGCAAAAATCTGATGCTGCGACCGAATAGACCTGGATGAAGCGCACTTCCATGCCTGGGGGCCCCAACACGTGACATTGCTGAAAAAAAAGAGAAGTGAAAGCCTCTTGCTGAGTCTCTCCAGCAATTGACGATGCCCCCCCCCTTTGTGGGTTCGGCTCACTAGATGCCAAAGAAGCTGTCGAAGAGGTTGCCTGACTCGAAGGTGTCGTCGCGCAGACTGCAGGCTCGTCCGCGCTATGTCGATCTCACTCTGCCACTTGTTGCTTCCTGGCCTCTGCTGCGGCTGCGATCTTGGCCTCTGGAATCTTCGTGGCTGCTTCTTTCATTGCTGCCTCATGTGCCTCCTTCTGCGAGGGGTCCGTAGCCTCCTGGGCTCGGGTATCGGCGGCCGTCGGTGCTCGGGATTGCTGTCCTCCACCGGTGCCTCCGCCGTCCCCACCGCCCGTCGTCGGCTTGGACTCTCCCTCTGGGACCTTACGCTTTTTGTTCAACCTCTCCGTCGCGAGCATCTTCAAGGTCTCCATGCGGTTCTTCCACTCTTGTACTCGGCTCCCTCGATCGTGGAGATTGGATCTGGCTTCACGCAATTGACGCTCAAGTTCTCGTAGCTCGGTTTTCTCTCCCTCCTCACACTCATATTCGTCCAGCTTGCTGAAGAACTCCTCATCCCAGCTCAGGTCGAACATGTTTGGCTCCTTACCACCATTTTTCCGAGGGGATACATCGATATCTACTCCAGATTCTTGAGCAAGTGCTGTAATTGCTTTCTTTTCATCATACTCGGCCTTTGCCAAAGCTAAGGCACAATTTCGTTCACGGTCTTCGGCTCGTTGAAGGTTCTCTTTGCATTTGATAACCTGCGCCACTGATTGTTCATGTTTGAACGAACAGTATTTCCAAACACTGTTGGCCCTCTTCATGGCCTCCTCCGAAGATACAGGCTTGGAGGTTGGCTGGCCGTCAACCTTGATGGCGCTTATCTCTTGCAGCAGGATCTTCTTGGTGTTGAGGTCGGTGGTGGCTGCAACTTCTTTGGCGAGCATGGCCTTGATCTCGGCGGGACTTGCGTCCTTGCCTTTGCCTTGACCTCCTTTACCACCACCACCACCATCTTTCACTACAAACAATTGATTCCCGCTGACATTGTCACTCTGATCGCCTGGTTTCTGCTTCGGCTTGTATATCTTGACACTACACCGACACTTGGAGCACTGATTGGTCTGCCCACTGAGCACGTCGTTCCATTCATGTGTGTGTGGCATCGCGCACATGTGCTCCATAGCCGTGCGCCCTTGCCCGCCATTGCAGAAAAGACGGGACGGGGCTGGTCTTGGCCCTGCTCTCGCTGCCAGTAACTGCTGCTCACTCGGAGCGGAAGGACTGGCACCCCTCAAGAACGTCGTGGAGGCGCAGGGTTGGGCTTGAGCCAAAATGGCTACGGAGGGAGGAGGAGGAGGAGGAGGAGGAGGAGGAGGGGGAGGAGGAGGGAGAGGGATGGAGGCATCGATGATTATATTGTGGCCGTTTTTGTTGGCCTGCACAGGCAATCGAGGATTCATAGTTGATCGCGAAAACGCAGACCTACCCTGGTTTTTCGTCGTTGTTCTTGGGCCTCACCAAATCTCCAGCAGCAGACGTCTCGCAAACAACAAGATAATGTGAATTCTTCACGCTTCGCGTATCCCCACCAGCCCATCTCAAAGCAGCAACTCTAGCGAAGCATGCCGACAGTCGTGTTTTTTCAGGCGTGTTTCCGCCTGCCCCCGCATATCTCGCCTGTTCCGCCTCCTTGTACATCCTCCTTGTGGTGGGAGCGGGAGAAGGACGAGGCGGAGGAGGAGGGAGAGAAAGCGCTCCTCGTGGTTTGAGTCGTTCGGGCTTCTCGTCCTGGTGTGAGTCGTTCGGGCCCTTCTTCCTGGTGTGAGTCGTTCGGGCGCTTCGTGGTGTGAGTCGGTCGGGCTCTTCGTCCTGTTGTGAGTCGTTCGGGCTTCTCGTGGTGCGAGTTGTTCGGGCACCTCGTCCTGGTGTGAGTCGTTCGGGCCCCTCCTCCTGCCCGTCCAGAAACGACGCCCAGGCGAGTAGAGGGTCGTCCTGATGGGTTGTTCTGCGTCTTGGGTGCCTCGGGGGGGCCTCTCTGGGCCGTTTGGGATCCTCTTGGGGGCCTCCTGGGGGCCTCTTGGGGCCATCTTGGGGCCTCTTGGTGCCTCCTGGGCGCTTCTTGGGGCCATCTTGGAGGAAATCTATCAAAGAAGAGGGGAGCTTTAATTAGCGCTGCCGCCTCAGAAGGCCAAAATGGGGCCAAAACCCTAGTAAAATCAATGATTTTGGCTTGAAAGAAGAGGGGAGCTTTCATTAGCGCTGCCCCCTCAGAAGGCCAACATGGGGCCAACACCGTAGTAAAATCAATGATTTTGGCTTCAAAGAAGAGGGGAGCATGCTTCTGCCTCCCCCCGTCGGGGCCAGAAACCTCGTGAGGGGTGTCGTTTTTTAGCCCTCCCAGGAGTCGAAAAAGACCCCTCCAACAACCCACGGGGCGCCCTCTCCAGGCCCAGGGGGAGGGGGTAGGGGGAGGGGTAAACCCCTCCCCGAAGGGGAAGAAGGGGGGTTGAGAACAGAGAGAGCTCTCTAAACCACTCACGCCCAAAGGGCTGGTGGGATTCGTCTGAAAAGTGACCCAGCTAAGATTCCCCACTAGATCTGCACCATATTTTCAGAAAGATGGATTCGTTGTGTTTGTTGTTAGGGAGATGTCCACGAGGTAAGATGTCCTGGAGGTTGTTTACGTATACCAATATAGATTTGGAATGTGTATTGGCATGTCCGTTGCATATCCATAGTTCGAACAGTTCTCGTCGAATGGTTCCCCCATCCATCTTGTGGTGTTGGGTCCTCGTTTGATGTGACAAGACCCGCGTCTCCCTCACTCCTTCGTCCTCCCCCCTTCCTCCCTCCTCAATCGTCATCATCACCAGCATCATCATCACCATCATCAGCATCATCATCCATCATCATCGTCATCACCACCAACAGCAACATTTGCGCCAACGCCATTCTCAACGCCAACATCATTATTGTCATCGTTATTATCATACTCACCACCAGCAACTACAACGACAGCAACAGGAGCAGCAACAACATCAGCATCAGCATCGCATCATAATCATCGACGTCATCATCACCGTCATCGTCATTATGATTGTAGGCACACCCCTCACACCTTTCGTGGCCCCATAGTGAGATCCACTTGAGGGCCCAGTGGCGCAGCCCGCATGCGTCCCAGCCACCCATGCCGGCACACCCCTCACAAATTTCGCGGCCACGCAGGGGACTCCACCGAATGCCCCAGTGGCGCAGCCGGCATGCATCCCAACCACCCATGTCGGCACAATCCTCACACGCCTCGTGGCCCTGTAGGGAGCTCCACCGAAGGCCCCAGTGGCACAGCCCGCATGCGTCCCAGCCGCGCATGTCGGCACACGCCTCACAGGTTTCGTGGCCCCATAGGGAGCTCCACTGAAGGCCACAGTGGTCCCATCCCGCATGCGCTCCAGCCATTCATGTCGGCACATCTCTGCTACGTTTCGTGGCCCCATATGAGTTTCACAGAAGGCTCCAGTGGCGCAGCCCGCATGCGCCGCCGCAACCTATTTCGGCACACGCCTCTCACACGTTTCGAGGCCCCATAGGGAGCTCCACCGGAGGCCCAAGTGGCGCAGCCAGCGTGCGTCCCAGCCGCGCACTTCGGCACACCCATCACACGCTTCGTGGCCCCATGGGGAGCTCCACCGGAGGCCCCAGCTGCGCAGCCCGCACGCGCCCCCGTCACCCATTTCGGTACATCCCTAACGCGTTTCGTGGCCCCACAGGGAGCTCCACCGGAGACCCCAGTGGCGCGGCCCCATGAGGAGTACAGCCCCGTTGGTCGAGCAGTGGCGAAGCGTCTTGGCTCGCCTACAGGCCCGCCAAAGAATGCGCTAAGAACCCTTTTATGGTCTGCGCGAAATGTTCTCATAAGATTTCTGGCTGGGACCGTCTTGTTTTCACACATCGGGTATGTGTTCTAAGAAATTTGTGTTTGGTTTTAGAGCACTTGTGGGTTCTAGGAGGATTTCGTAGTAGGACTATAGTAATGCCGGGACGGTCGGTCCCTTCTCAAGTTGGCAGCGCCCGTATGGGGGCCCCGCCCCATTCCTGCACATCCTTCACGCGTTTCGTGGCCCCAGAAGAAGATCCACAGAAGGCGGCACTCATAGCGACGGCGCTCACATTTGCATATGGTTGGGTCCTTCGCCAGGCTAGTTGAGATGTCCCAGAAAATTCCCGGCCGACAAGATGGCCCAACATATTAGTTTGCGGTAGATTTCCAGGTGGGATGTGTCTTGGAAGATGTCATCGGGAGCCCATTTGGAAGCTCTCTCACGGCCGGATCTAAATGTGTTACGTCAACCAGTTTGGACGTAATGTGTCGAAGATGTTGTGAGATTGGGGTATCCACGCCAGATCTGCGGCTACCGCGTTCCAATTCCACAGGCCCCTGGAAACCTCCCCGGCTTTCCCCCCCATCTTTCCCCCCACCCCCCCTTCCATGCCACCACGGCTGGAACCGCCGTGGAATTCTGGTCAGGACGCGCAAATTTGGAGAGTGGAATGCGACGATGAGGAGCAGGAGGGGAGGAGGGGAAGAGCACAGTGGAGACCCAGGCCAAGAGACACCCTGCTTGCCTCCAGGGTGCCCTGGGTTTCGATGGTTTCGATGGTTTTGCTGTGGAGAGCGAGACGCTCCCACACCAAAAATGAATGGACGTCATGGGGTCAGTGCCGGGTGTTTTGTGGAAGGTTTCTTGCGATCGGGCCCCTACTGTATGAGGGGGAGGAGAAAAGACCTAGCCTCTGTGCAGCATTGCGGTGGCAATGCGGTAATTCGCCATCTGATGACCAGGACTACAAGGAGTTTGGCGGCGAGAGTGGTTTCCAGTTCGTACTCGGTGACAGCCACCACGAAGTCCGCCGCTTCCACGAGAGCAAACTCTTCGACGTGTGCTACTGCAACGACAACTGCGGCGTAGTGTCAAATTGGTTCAAGGTTTCTCCCTCCTCTTCTTACTTTCAGAGCGTGAATTACCTACCCCGCTTTCGCTTCCAGGCAAAACCAAGTCATACCACGCGCCTCCTCGTCAAGCGGCCTGACCAGTACAGGCCGTAGTTTGGCATCGTTTGGTATCTCTTGGAAGCGAGGGTGGTCAAAAGCGAGGTAGGTTTGTTTGCCCCCTCTCACTGTCTGTTCCTGTTCCACTGCCTACTCGTCATCCTCCGACTGGCGTCCCCTCCTACAGCGCAGCAGCTGCAGCGCCGCCAGTGGGGGCCACGGACAGAGTGAGAGCGTGTAGACCGTCGCCATGAAGTTCCGGAGCGCGCGGGTGGAGGTTGGCAGTCATTCGTCCGCAAGGCGCCGGTCCAAGGGCCAATGGACGCAGAGAGTTGATCAGGGGCAACGATAGGGGGGGATAGGCATAGGGGGGGATGCATCGACACGCAATCGCCCATTGATCGCCGATAGGGGCCCGATAGCCCCAACCTGCCCAGGAAGGTGCGGATTCAGTATTGGGGCTTATCGCTGATCTATCGGCGATGTATCGCCGATTCCAGGTCGATGCCTCCCCCCCGATGCCAGTCCCCCCCTAACGTTGCCCCCCAGTTGGGACACAAGAGCGTTCATTGGTACTTGTCGTTGTCGTCCTCATTCGCTCACTTTTCATCTTCGGTCCTTCTACTCCCCTTGCTGCCAGCATCGACACCTGCAGCTTTCTCAGGGAGCGTTTCGACAGGAATTTCGAGACGGATCCAGCCGTTGCGAAGAGAAGCGTTCAGGAGGGCTTCAAGACAAAACAAAGCCCACATGTTTCGACCCTTATCCCGCATCCTAATTCCCTCGTTCCCAGGCCCCTCCTGTGCAAAGCCAGATATGGTGACTCGTGCAACTCAAAACCCAAGACGCCAAGTAACGATTGCTGCTCAAGAGAGTAGTTATATGCGTCAGTCGGTGTTTGATCTCACTCCCGCATCAAAGCCCAGACTGCTGGCGACTCAGAATATGGAGCGCGCCGGAGCTGTTTAGGCTTTTTCGGCGTCTGAAGTTCGCATGCTGGCAACGGGACGAGCGAAAAACGATCTGGTATCGGTGCCAGGAAGGTGGGCGAGATCTACAGGAGCCAGCGGTTGGAAACAAGCCGAGCCGCAAGAGGTCCCGGAAGGCCCGGCAGCGGGGAGGACCGTGATGCTTCGACGCCCAGTGCTGGACCACCACGCCACGCTGGTCGCAAGCCGACCCTGAGACCTGGGAGGGCTCTCCGCGCGGGCACGGAGCGGATCGCAGCCCGCGCGCGGCCGTGCAAGCTCGAAGGCAGCCCGCGCGGCTCGCAAAGAGCAGCGGGCGCGCTCCATCGGGGCGGACATCTCCGGGGGCGCCGGCACGCAACTGCGCGCCAGGAGCAGGGGGCGAAGAGAACGGCGGTGGCAACGCCAACACCCTCGGCAGCTCCGCCCCAAGCGGGCCGCACGAACACCTCGGCAGAGCCTGACAAGGGTCCCATCCTCTGAGCGGTCTGCCCGGGGCGGCCTCCGCGCCCGGCTCGCCAGCCGCGTCCAGTCCACAGGCAGAGGCGGGAGTGGTGCAGGAGCAGGAGGAGGAGGAGGAGGAGGAGGAGGAAAAGGAGGAGGAGGAGGAGGAGGAGGAGGAGGGCGCTGAGCTCCGCATATGAACTGCGGCACGAACGCGAAGCCGAGGGAAGGGGGAGGGATGACCCGCACTGAGCAGGCGCCAGTCTCGCACCTCCGCCCAGTGCCACGGCGATAGGTATCACGCCCGAGAGTCCATGCCGTGCTCAGCCGTTCTGAGACGGTTTTCTCCAGCGCTCCCGACTCCCGACGGGGTCGGTGGCGATCTCATGCAGGCACTCGCCTGCTTATCATAGCTGGCACGTTCATCAGCGATCCAGTTTCTTCCTTCACAGCGGAGGCGCTCGCCTTAGAGGAGGCGGCGCGGGCTGTGGAGGAACTCACCCTTAAGGTAAGAAACCGGCCATCAGGAGCATGTTTCTCTAGAAGCGCGCTCCAGTGACCTGATCTAGGCCAGGCGAAAGACAGAACAATACAAGGACGCCCTCTAGAGAGTCCAATGGGCGGGTGTAGTCCAGCACTCTTGGCGCAGCCCCGAGCGCGATTCCTTTCTTCGTGGTCCTGGGCACGCAGCTGTAAACGTGTATGTAGCCCACGCCTGTCCCCAGCGCCTTGGTCCATGGGCGGGTGCAGACCGTGCCGTCGAGTTGGGGCACCGGGTCGACCCCCACAAATGTTAAGACTGGTGTCGGCTTCCAGAGGGGTAACGCAGCCGTGCAGATCAACCAAAGACGGCAGAGATGTAGGCAAGTCCCCCAAACAAGAGAGAGAGAGAGAAAGAGACACCGAGAGAGAGAGAGAGAGAGAAACAATAACAGAAAGAAAGAGAGAGAGAGAGAGAGAGAGAGTGAGAGAGAGAAACACACGATGGCCCTCCCCAGAACGGTGCGTAGTCGTCTGCGTACAGCATTTCCGAAATGGCACAGTGGCGCCGTGGAACGTCCGTGGAGAAGCGCAACATTGCGGGCTCCAGGCGGCAGCAGCGTCGGTTTCTGCAGCGCGTAATGCTACTGCGTGTCCATGATCGTGAACGCCATTACCCATCAGTCGTTGAAAGTAGGTACTTTGGGATTGCCAGGTTCCAATCTTAGGCGCCTTCCTACTTCAATGATCGCGCGGCTTCACCTTTTCCGTCCTCCTTAGGGGGGCGGACGGAACCCGATCTATTTTCAACGCCTTCTATTTTATGTTTGTACCTACTCTTTCCGACCGATGGGTGCTGCCATTGCGCGTCCATGAACGTGAAAGCCATTAATTGTCAAAGCGCTGCCTAAAGGGACGCGCATCGCCAACCCCTCGGCATCCTTGCCTCGATGGAAAAACCAAGCGTTTATGTTTGTGTCAATGGCGTTGTTTCTTCGGGTGCATGCATCGCCAAACCCCTCGATGGCCTTGCCGATGAGTGCACCTAGCAGGAAGAGGCCCGCTTTGAGGTGATGGGACATACATCGGGGACTATAGATCGTTCAGTGGATGCAGGACAGACGGAAGTCTTGCACTGACACCGGTGTCCTACCCAGGTGAGCTACACGCACGGCTTGAATCTCACCAGACGTCACCGAACGATCGAATTCCCAGGTTTTCCGATCCAAGGCGGGCGGGATGTTGGGCAAGCAGCTCCTGACGTCCGCCCCGGACCCTCCGACAGCCGTGGAGGGCGGGTGCCCGCTTCCGATGGCCTCTTCCGTGGTCGATGGCGGTGTTGGCGCAGGGGAGACCGAGCCGCACCAGTCCAGCGCTCGGGACGCAGGCAGCGCGAACGATTGACCGTGGGCCTCTTGTACGTCTGGTGTCTCCAGCTTATGGTTACAGTCAACCCGCATAGTCTGGATGAACAAAACCAAGGGTACCCTTGCATCCTTGCCTACTCGGCCCATCCTTGGCCACTTTCGTTGGCCGCGCCCCGCTCGAGAAGCTTCGACGTTGGCGCCCAAGGCCCTTGCATCCTTATCGCACATCCCTACGGGCGGACTGTGGGAGCATTGTCCTGACCCAGCATCCAGTGCGAGGCCCTGCTAATCATAGCTGGCGGGATGCATGCTGGGAGGCCCGGGAGGACAGCCACCCGCCCCATGATTGCTTGGACCAAGAGTTTCGGGCAACGTTCGCAAAGATGATCTTGCTCATCAGTCCCTGAAGCCCCTTTACCTAACATCTGAACTCGTCGGGGGCACTTCGTATAGAGAACCCCGCGCGTCTTCTGGAAGTCTTCAACCTCCAAGCCGTCCAATACGGTAACCAATAGCCTACGCATGCCTTTATTATCCTCGCGGCGCATTGGGTCGAGGCCAACCGCGCAGGAGTCGGCAGAGGTCAACAGGAGGTCTGCCACGCGCGAGGTCGTGAAGTTCGCGGGGCCCTCCTCGAAATCAGTACGTCAGAGCTCATTGCCTCCATGACCGCCCTCACGGAAGCGCCGCGTCGCCTTTCCCACCGCCGCATGGGGGTGGACGACAGCAGCATGGCAGGGCGCCCCAACGGAGCCCCGAGTGGCCCGGAGGCCATGGCCGATAATCCCGCGGGGCGAACGCGATGATGGTGACAGCCGTGAGGGCCAGGGCGCGACACGGGCGTGAGGAGGGTGCAGGTACAGCAGACGCACGCAGTGCCACGGACCCGATTCCGATCGAGTTTCGTTCGGTGCGTGCGAAATCGTCTTGTTTCCACCCTCGTGCACGCCAGACGGAATGTTTTGTTGTTATTGTATTTCTTGTCTGCTATTTCTTGTTTGGTGCGTGCGAGAATCATCGAGAAGCCTGGGCGTGAGAACTTTCAAGAATGGGACGTGCGAGAATCATCAAGAAAGTGGGACCAGCGCGCGCAGCAGCCCGCGCAGGGCGCTCTCCGGCGCATGCTGCCTCTGACCCTCTGACCCTCTGCACGCCAGACAATTCGTTGTTCGTCTGCCCCGAATAGCCACACGCTGGAGCGAACTGCTTCTGCCTCGTCGCCGACGGGAAAGAGTTTACCCTGAGCGACACCCAAACGGAGGTAACGCAGTGCGGGCAAATGAGTCCCAAAACCGTGTCCGCGGGCGTACTCGACCATATCCGAGAGTAAGTGACGAACTGCAGCCCTGTCGGCAGAGCCGGGGAACCACGAAAGGTTGATACGAATCGTTGAGCATGGAATTTGCCAACATAAGCGCCGAGCTCGATCCAATAATATGATCTCCACCCTCCGGGGGGTACCATCCATGCGGCGATGGGTGTTGCTAGTCAGCGAAGAACTCGCTCACAGGAGCTGTGCACATGAGGCGAAGATGTTGGTCGGACTGCGCATTCCCTGGTAAATTCTAAACGCCAGTTGCACCGTGCGCCACCTAGGCCGCGGATGACTACGAAGGCAGACACCTCTCTAGAGGACCGGGGAGGACTAGCTAAGCAAGCCGCCGCCGCTGTGTGAACTGAGCTGGAGGAAACGATGGCCTGCATGGATACGTTTGCATCCCCTTGATCCGGAGCGCCTCTTCACGTACGGTTCGCTCAGCGGCGGGTGCATTGACGCGAGGGTGCGGCGCTGGAGGTCCAGGAGCTCCTCGTCCGAAACGGCACGGGCAATGGCCACGGAACACATGGATGCAGCCGCTAGAACTTGCCCGCAGGGCGCGGCAGCAAGCAGCGCCAGAGACGACGTTAGCCAGAGGCGGCAACGAAGGTGACGACGGAATTTCGCTCCGAAATTGTTCGTGTTGCCCACGTAAGACTCCAGGTGCGGCAGACCACGTATTCGGATGCCAAATAGATGCCGGATGGATCCCTGAAGGGGGCCACGTGGACCTTGGCAGGGAAATCGCGAGCGAACAGAATTTGCTGCGGACCTGGCTGGTGGAAGCCATGCAACAGTCAGCGTGGGGCGCCCTTCCTATGGCCACGTTGCGAGAGTTGCGCAGTTTATTTTGACGTGAGCTGGCCTCAAGCCTGATCTCCGTCAAGGCACAAGCCTCGGATCGACGAGAAGAGATTGATTGGCGCCGAAAGAGGAGCACAGCGAAGGCCTGCAAGGCGAAGTGGTCCGACTGACAATTGCGCGGATGGTAGCAGGCAGCGCCCAGGGAGGGGAGGTCAAGTTTGTGTCCACGAAAGACGTCGCTCCGTTGCACCTCCCAGGAGCTCACGAAGGAGAGAGAGAGAGAGAGAGACAGAGAGAGAGAGAGAAACCGTGCACGTCAGACGTGCATTGGCAGAATGGGGTGAAACGACTGCGACCGGCGACGCGAATCCTCCGGCGTCGCTGGCTCCATGCACAAGGAAGTGTTTCAAGTCTCGCCATGCATACCCCAGTCGCCAAAATTGCCCGCAGGGTGGACGACCCAGGAGAGCAACCGCAGCAGGGAGGCAGAGGAGGGAGCGACATCCGGGGCCCAGGACGAGCCCGACGCCGAGGGGGGGAGGGGGGAGGAGGGCAAGCGACAGGGGACGACAGCTGAGAGGAGGGGGACGAGGAGGAGGGCGACAACCTGGGCGACAGCCCGAGGGACGAGCACGAGGGAGAGCAAGCACAGGAGCGACGCAGGACGGCGGAAGAGCGGGCGACGACACCACCTGGAGAACATGCGGCGGCGGCGAGCTTTTCAAATTCCCCCCAAGAATCAGTTATAAGAACCAGAACCAGAATCGTACATCTCGTACGCCCTGGATTGCGAGGTCACCCCATTGATGCCACAAGGCGTGCAAAGCTTCCTCGCCGCCTGCCGTCTGGCAAGCAAGGTCGTCCACCTGAAACGTCCACGCGTTGCGGGGCCGACCCCTCCGGCGAGCCCTGGCCTGCAGGAGCTCGAAGGTGCTGGGCTGGAACATGCACTTGCGCACGGGGCTGTTCCCTGGCATCAAGGCAAATCGTCCCATGAGGTTCAACTGCGTACGCGTCGGTGCGTCTCTTAGCTTCTGAGCGCAATATCGCTGCAACACCGGTTTATATAGTAACACGACTTATGTGCGAATGTTTGGTGTCTGAATTCCGGCAACGCACCTGAAAAAATGCTGCGCTCTGCTCTGTTAAACCGAACATTGTGCAAACCATAAAGCAATGTACAGACTACACACGTGTCAAAAGCTGCGAACTTCCTGTCGACGGGTAGCCACGCGTGCTTCCACAATTTGCACAATGTCTCAAAGTCTGCGCTGGCCATGCCCAGTCGCCGGCTAAGTTCAGGCCCGCTCCGGCCTGTGGAGCTCAGGAGTCTTAATGGGTAAATCGTGCTGTCTTTGCTCAGAATTGGCGCGCCCTTTGGCTTCGTCAAGGCTGGTCTCGCGACACACCGGTAGGGGCACTCAGATGGCTCCAGTTAGGCTCACGAAAGCGGCGGCAATTGCGCAGCTGCCAGCGTCCAAGGACAGGAGGTCCCGTTTGGCCCCGCGTCGGGCATATGACGTCATCCGGTTGGACTTCCCTGTTGCGCAATTAGCAGCGCCCAGAAAGGAAAGGTTCTGTTCGAATCTTCGTCGGACGTCGCCCCGTTGGACCCCCCTGGGAATTCAACACATCAAATCGTCCAGGATGGGCCTGGCCAGGGCTGGTAGTGGTGTACTGCCTGGAGCTCTCCTAAGAGCAGTATGGTATTGCATTCGCAAACGAGGATTCAACCCAAGAAAGGAATTGGGAAACATGGACGCGTCAAGGAGCACCACCTGGATCACCACCGCCATTACTATGCCCTTGCGTTTTCAACCTTATGTAAGTGGTTTAAACAAGCTGTTGCTTCTCCAACGAAACCGAGTCCTCCAGTCTGACGGACGCCTGTAATGAAGGGTGCCCGCTCGCGCGAGTCCGAGTCAACTCACATCCACGCTGGCTGACTCGTGGCCGGCAACTGTTTCTGTCGCCCCGTCTAGCTCTGGTAAAACAGGGCTAGGATCGGGATAAATCGCTCCAGAGCATTCCGGAGCGCTCTCAGAGCGTTCGGAACGCTCTGGAGCGGCCGCGGCGCCCAATACATCCTCCAAACCCGCCGATTCTCAGAGATTTCGAGTTATCCCGATCCGATTTTGTCCCGATCTTCGCGTCGTTTTATCTGGCCGTTCATTGCAGTCGATGCCTGCGGCGGCTCCTTGCTTCGACGTGCGATCTGACGCACCCCAGGCAGGTACGCGCGGGTGCCTTTTCTCCGGGGCGGCGGCGCGAGGGCGCGAGGAGGCTCGCCCCTCGTGCCTCTCGGCGCGCGGTGCGCGAAGGGAGGCGACGCAGATAGATGATCGAAGACGCCTACCGTCGGGGCGCTGAAGGAGGGACCCTTTTCGTTGGGGAGGGGCTCGGTGTTCCTTGGTTGTTTTGCAGCTCGCCTTCGGTTTTTCTGAGGTTTTGGATGGTACATCGAAGTTCAACTTATGGGGAAAAAAAAGGCCTCGTTCCTTCTTTAGGGTTCCTTAGGTCAGCGCCCCTACTGTACGGCGAATCACCGCCGCCCCCGGCCTTTTTGGAAGCGCCTGCCTGGCCGAAAGTTGGGCTTGAGCTTGGCCAAGCCATCGGGCCACGCGTTCCCCGAGTGGGCTTCGAAAGCCTTCGGGGAGCACGGAGTCGGGCGAGCTATCGGACCAGGTGGTTTCCGACTTTTCGGGGGCTGCGGATCGAATGGCCTTCGGCCCATCCCGCCACCGTGTTTGGGTTGTGGGTATGAGGCTGATCGGTTGTTCGTTGGGATGTCGTGGAAGGTTTTTTCGGGGGACTCTTGGAGGTAGTTCGGACGCATCTTAGGGGCCCTTGGGAGGCCTCTTGGGGCCTGTCTTGGGCCTCTTGGGGGTCTCTTGGGGCCTCCTGGACTCCTCTTGGGGCCTCCTGCTTCTTGGGTTGAAGGCTCGGATGTTCGGTTTGTGCTCCTTCATTTGGGCGCATTTGGGGGCCGTCTTGGGGCCCTCTTGGGCTTTGGGGGGCGCCTCTTGGCCTGTCTTGGGGCCCTCTTGGGCCGGTTTGGGGCATTCTTGGAGGCCTCTTGGCCATCTTGTGGCGGTATGTGGGGCTTTTAGGGCCGTCTGCGAGCGTCGGGAAGCCGACATGGCGGCAACGCGAACATCCTTCACAATCCACAGGATAATCAATGATGTTGGCCTCTTGGGGCCCTCTTGGGAGGCCTCTTGGAGGCCTCTTTGGGCGTCTCGGCGGCCTCCAGGGCCGTATGGGGGCCATCTTGGGCGTCCTGGGACGATCGTTCGGCGACTCGGGGCCCTCTTGGACCGTCTTGGCGGCCTCCGGGAGCCTTGTTGGCCCGTCTGCGGGCCCTTTCGGGCCCGAAGAAGTAGGGGATTGGGCAACCAGGGCTGGACCTACCAAACATTGTTTTGCTGGACTCCGGCTGTGTTTTGATCTTCGTTTTGGGCAGGAAGATACAGCAAAGCACGTAGAGCAAAACGAATACATAACGAAAGACAACGTCAAGGCCCAGCCCTATGTGCAACGGACCTGGCCACTCCGTGCCCAGAGGCACGGTGGCCGACCTTGTTGTGAATGTTCGGCTTCAGGGCAGACTGCTCCGGCCCGGGGCCGTCGCCTGTCATTCCACAACCTTCTCCTCGCTGCCGATTCGATCGCCCTCGTGCTCGACAGCGTCTCCCCCCTCCAGGAGCCCAGAGGGGCCCGCCGTCCTGGCTTGTTCAGGGAGCCTGTGAAAGGCTGGGCCCAACCCGCTCAAGATCGGTCCCTGGACCGCTCCTGGGGTCCGCCCGCGCCAGTTCTGGTCGGACGTGGTGCAGCCGCGGCAACGAAGGGCCCCAAGGCCCGAGAGGGTGGGGGGGAAGTGCTGGGCAGGGAGGTCTGGGTCGGTTCCCTTCTCTCCCTGGAGGTCTGGGATCTCCCTGGCCCCGCGTGCTGCTGGGACGCTTCTGTGGGCTTCTGGGGGGGTCCCGGATCCCGCCTCCCCTCCTCCCACCTCGGCCCACTCTTTGCCTCGTCCTCGTCCTCCTCGGCGTGCTCCTGGTCCGGCCCCCCTCTCCCCTTCCCCTCCACGTGCTTGTGGTTGTTGGCTTCCTGCGCCAGGTCGGGCAGCTGCGCCTGAGTCCAACCCGACTGGTCAGCGCGGCGACCTACAAGTCTACGGCGGCGGCACAGATGTCAATCGAGTTCCTGAATGCCGAGGGGACCATTGGCTTGAGCAGGCGCTCTGAATGTCTCTCGCTGACCTTACGCTGACTTTGTGACACGCTGCTGCTGCTGCGATGAGTGATGCTGATATAGATGGGGCTGGCGCCCCCAGGGTTGAGGTGGTGTGGGCGAGACAACACCCGAGCTCCGCAGGGGCCCCCTTGGGGCACTGCGACGCTGTCGTGGTAACTTTCGGACTCCTCGGGGAATCCTTCAGGCTCCTGCAGAAGTCTCTGGGAATCCTGGGTCAATCCTCCAGATTCGTGATGAAGTCCCCGGGAATGAATATTTAGGATATCCTCGGGGCTCATTCGGACATCCGTCGGGGCTCGTCGGGGGCCTTGGGGATTTGTCATATGGAAGTGCATCCCTACCTTTGTGTTGCTATGACAACGGTTTCCGGCGGCCCTTGGCACAGGGGCCATCCTGCGGGGAGGAGCGGACGGACTCCCAATACGTTTTCCCGGGGTCCGTTCGCGGGTCGAGCCTTTGGGGCGTTCCTGCATAGTTCTTGGGGCATCGTGAGGAGGAGGAGGAGGAGGAGGAGGAGGAGGAGGATTTTGGACGCTTCTGAGGCCCTACGCGCTACTGTTTGAAAGCATTCCAAAACGCAGTGCTCTGTTCTTGGCCTCTCGGGTCGGCGCCACGGCGGCCCAGAGGGCCCCCCAGCGGCTTCCAAGAAGCTCCCCTGGGGCCATCTCGGGGGCGGTCAAGAGGGGAGCGTTGACTAGGGGGGTGGATATCATTGCGGGGGCCATGATGTCTCCCCAGATTTCACAGCGCATCTTATTATTCCAATGCGTTTCTGGCGTCCCCTCCTGGGCCGCGCACATGCTGCCGGACATGATTTGCGCCCCCCCTCTTGGACGCCCTCCTCTTGGCCGCCCCCGACCATCTTGGGACAAGTTGGAGTATTTGATTCCAAAGCGCGACCCTCGGCAAGCACCAGAAGCCCGCAGAAGCGAAAGCCAGCGTGAGCGGGGGGTCGGGGTCCTGAAGAACTCCTGAGTCTTCTCCACCTTGAATACCAAGGGCCACGAGGGATTTCAGGGTACTCTACTCTCTGCCAGAGGCATGATGGCGGATGCTGTCATTATTTCGGCTAATTTAAATTTTGATGTTAGTTCATAGCATCTCATCAGTGTATGTCCATGCGTGCCGTCTGCATGCGCACCCCACGGAGTGGGTAGCCAATTCGTATGACACGTGATATCCGATAAGGTTGCTTGGGAGCACGCGCAATGTGCCTCCACTAGTGCCCTGCCTGCTACCCGCGTCTGCAGGCCATACTCCGACGCAGGAACACTTGGATTGAACGAAGATGCTGTGCTGAAGATCTTGGAGGATCAAGATATGGTGGTTACGGACGTTGACTGCGCCGAGAACGGGTACCTCAGCTAGGCACACAGCCAGATCTAGATCTGGATCCGCGATTTCGATCGGACGTTTTCGATGTTGCGTGTTCTAATGTGCATTGTTTCGCCAAGTGTGCTTGTGCGCGATCATGTATCCCATTCTGAGCGTCCCAGGTACGACCCGACTCTCGTGGATGGCTTGTCAAGTGCGGTCGACGCATCGCTCAACTACAAGGCGAGCTTGCAGACGGAGACCCCAGCTGACCCTACGAAGTTGGTCTTCAATTCCAATTCGTTCGTCAACGTCATCAGCGTGAAGAAACCCGGCAATATTGCGATTTGTTATCTGAGGGGAGTGCATTTTGCCGCCGGCTCCCACGTTGAATTCTGTTGGAGCCTTCATCCTTCTCTTCATTCTGCACTTCCTACTCACCCACCTTCTCCTCTGCCCTTGTTTGGCCACTCTGAGGCCTCTTGGCGATGTCTTGGGGCCTTTGGGGGCAGCACCACTGGACCTCTTGGGGCAACCTTTGCCGGTCAGTCTTCGGCGGTCTCAGGGGGCACCACGTGGACTCTGAAGGTCCCCTCGGGACCGTCTTCGCGCCGTTTCCGATGCACAGTTGTGCGATCTCGGACCCTCTTGGGCTCTTGGATGTCATCTCGGGGCACGTCGGCTCTGGCCTGAGCCGTCCAGTGGCGTTCCTGTGGGGATCCTTGGGGCAGCCCGGAGCAGAGGACCACCCTCACGGCGCATTGTTCGTGCAGGCGCCCCCACCCCCCCAGCAGGCCGCAGGCAGGCATGGTGGCAGGGTTGTGGGAAACCGCCCACAGGAGGCAAAGCAGGCGGCCGGAGGAGAGGAGGAAGAGGAGGAGGAGGAGGAGGAGGAGGAGCAGGAGCAGGAGCAGGAGCAGGAGCAGGAGCAGGAGTAGGAGGAGGAGGAGGAGGTGGTGGAGGAGGAGGAGGAGGAGGAGGAGGGGGAGGAGGAGGGGGAGCAGGAGCAGGAGCAGGAGCAGGAGCAGGAGCAGGAGCAGGAGGAGGAGGAGAGACGTCAGAGCCTGGCAGGGCTCCTCACAGCCTGGTGCTCCCACAGGGGGTGGGCGGACTGTGCACTGACGTTTGACAGCGTGTGCGTCGAGGAGACGAACTGGAAGCTGGTGACGCACATGACGATCAAAGGACCCAGGACACTGCAGAGCTGGCGGTTCTCGACGAACATCAACTTCCGTTTTGAGTACACGGGCTATGGGCTGACTTCCAGCGACACGCTGCGTATCATCTCCTCAGACGGGAGCTGCACAGACAACAACGGTGACCCCAATTCCGCAGATTTCTCTTATACTGCTATCAGGCCATGGGGTACACATATACAGAAGCAACATTGTGTTGGTCTGTGTTCCTGTTCCCCCTCCCCTTCAGCACCCCACCTCCTCTTGGTTTCACCACCCATCCCCACCCACTTCCCTCTCCCAACCGCTCCTCTTCTCGCTTTCTCTCCCTCTCTCTATCTCTGTTTCGCTCGCGTTCTCCCTCTCTCTCTCTCTCCCTCTCTCCACTCTCTCTCTCTCTCTATCTCTCTATGCTTCGGCATGCACCCAGACCCTAGTCTGGCGGAACCAAAAGGTACCCATACCGCTACTGCCTGGACCTATCCCGGGGTGCGTCCTGACAAGGATCTCGAGGCGAATCCAGCGGTGGCGACGAGGACCTCCCAGGAGGCCCAAAAAGGGGAAAACGAGAAAAAGGTATGGGCATGGGTATCTCTTCCTCCTCTGAAAGTCAACCCCACCAAGTGCAAGAGAGGCCTCCTCTTTTGATTCCCCCCTGCGGGGGTGACCACTCCCCGCAGCGCCAGGGCTCGGGCCCAGATCTCTGCGGACCCCTCGCCGCTCCGCGGCTGGCTGCGCCTGCTCTGCCCGTCAACGGCCACATCCGGCAACAGCCGCTGCCGACGCCTCATGACGCGTGCTGCGGCCGCACAGCTCCTCGACCAAGAGGGCCACCACGATGTCGCTCTCTCTCTCTCTCTCTCTATCTCTGTTGTCAGGCGATCGCGAACATGGGCCAAGGGGGCGTGGATTAGAGACGGGTCCCGTTTCCATGGGAAATCGCAGATTTCCGCCGCCGAGCGAGGCGGCACTGGCTGCACTTTGGGGAGGGCACCTCCCCCGATCCATGGATTTGGCGACCGCGCGCCAAATCCATGGATCGCTAACCCATGTTTGCGCGCACCCGACGCTTGCATTGGGAGTGCCCGCGCCCTGTTCTCTTCTCAGGCGCGCCGTCCTCACCACTTCGGGGGCGCGCGGTATGCACGGATGCTCCAGGCGCTGCGGCCCCGACCCAAGTAGGGTCGTCGTGGAGGATGGAGGGGGAGGCGATGGACCTGCCCGAGGCCCCAGGACGTAGAATTTTGCCCATGTCCCCCCTGATCTCGGCAAGCTTGAAGTCCGAAGTGCCGCGGCCCTCAGTTGGCCCCGGCAACAGCAGAGCGGTTGTTCACCGTTTCCAGAAAAGTGTCTTAAAAATGGAAACGGGAACAAAAATGGCGACCCGAAACGGCAACAAAAAGGGCTACGGGATTGGAACTGGAGCCGGAGCCCGTAACAAAACGGCGACGGAACCGGCAACAAAAACGGCCAAACGGAGCCGGTAAAAGACGGCCTTGCCGTTTCCAGGGCCCGCTAAGCCGTGGCCTACTCCAAATCCCTTATTGATCGTCTCCTGGTTATGGTTTTTGAAGGCGTCTTTTCTGCAACTGGGGGGGTCCGGTTTACCTATCAGGGCGCTTTCTTTGGATTGGAGCTTATAGAGGGTCCGGTTTATCAAAAGGCGCCCCGCCGAAGAGGGGGGTCCGGAGTATCAGGCCGCACTTCGAAGGGGGTCCGGCTTTTTAGGGGGGGGCGATTAATAAGGGGTTTGGAGTAGGGGGACTCACGCGACTCACGCGACAGCTCCCCCCCTCCACCGTCCCCGCCGGGCACCGGGCGTGCCGCTGCCGGCCAGGTATAGCGCCCGTGCTCCCCGGGGAGCACGGGCGCAGGGGACCCCTGCGCCCCAGGCAGCCTCGAGCAGCCTGTGGCCTGCCGCCGGTGCCCCTCAGCACTCAGGAGGGGGACAAGAACACACAGGCACAATGTGCGTGTGTGTGTGTGTGTGTGTGTGTGTGTGAAGTCCGCTCAGATCACCATTATATCTTCATCTACCGCTGCCGTATCGGCTCAGGTATTGGTACAACTTACCGTGCTGCCTCTGTCGCAGCGCCCTGGAAAAGGACTCGCGACCCTATTCCTTTCCTACCTCCACTTACGGGAATCACAGTAGGTTCGACTATTCGGTCGTTAACCTACTTCCATAGGAGGTGGAAGCACACAGGCACAAGTAGTCGTCGATTCCCAGAAACATATGGAGAATGCGGAGGAAGTGGGGGGGGAAGACGAGAGTCCAGAATATGTGAGAAGAGAGGGGGGATCCTGGGATCTGTGCGTCGATTCCCCAATCAGAGCTTGCCTCCGTAGGGGTCTTAGCGGATTCATATGGTTAGGTGAGGTGGATCGCCGATTTCGGTGTCTGGCCCGGGTGCCCCGGTGCCGGGGGGGCCTGGGTGCCCGGGGGTGCCCGGAGGTGCCCGGATGCGCCCGGATGCGCCCGGTAGCCTTATAGCTTTATAGCTTTACAGCCCTATAGCCTTAATGCCCTAATAGCTCCATACCCCCTATAGCCCTATAGCCCCATAGCTTATAGCCATATAGCCCCATAACCCTATAGCCTTGGAGACATCAGATTGAGTTTTTCCTCCGGTATCATTTATTTGTGTGTCTCTGGGCCCCTTCAGTTATGTATCGTTCTCTCTCTCTCTCTCTCTCTCTCTTGTTTGTTTTGTCTCGCTCTCTCTCCTCCTCTCCCTCATGATCCGTCCCCGCCTCTGCCCTTTCCCGTCTTTCTATTCTCTTCGTCTCCCTGGGATTCGCGTGTCTCTTTATCTGTGTGTCCCTGGGACTGGGCCCCTTGCAACACGACCAGCGCCCCCCCCCCCCCCACGAAAGCCTACGACCGTAGCACCGTAGCAAAAATCTCCCGACCGAGATTCCGAGAGAGAGAGAGAGAGAGACCACAGCCCCCCTCGGCCTCGGCGGCGGCTCTCCGTCGGCCAAGGCGCCACGGCGACCGCCTCCTCCGACACCCGCCGAGTGTGGCGACCCTCCGGGCCGCACCCACCCGCGTGCCCACACGGTGGTCCCAGATCGAGGGAAGGAGGGAGGAGGGAGGAGGAGGAGGAGGAGGAGCAGGAGCGGGAGGAGGAGGAGGAGGAGGAGGGAGGTGGAGGAGGAGGAGGAGGAGGAGGAGGAGGAGGAGGAGGAGGAGGAGGAGCAGGAGGAGGAGGAGGAGGAGGAAGACCACCACGACCCCCGCAACTGAGTTCGAAGAAGAGTAAACGCCATCAGTATAAACTTCTGGCGCTCCGCGCGGATTTCTTGGATCCGCGCTGCCCCCCCCCCCCCCAGCGGCGCCTTCGGCGCCCAACCCTCCGGCGCCGCCCCTGGCGCGCTCTGCGCGCCAGGGAGGGGATCCAGCGAGGATCCAAGAAATCCGTGCGGACCGTCGAAGACCTATGTTTACGTAGGCCGTATTGCTCCATTCTGAGGATGGAAAACCACCCCGACCCCCATGACTGAGTGACCTTACTCCAAAGCCTTGGGCGTTTCCTAGACAGCCCTTCATGTCTGTTTTGTTCTCTCTCTCTCTCTCTCTCTCTTTCTCTCTTCTTTGTTCATCTCTTTCTCTCTCTCTCTCTCACTTTCTCTCTCTCTCTCTCTCTCTCTCTCTCCTCCTCTCCCTCATGATTTGTCCCCGCCTCTTGCCCACCCCGCCGTCCTTCTATTCTCTATCTACACTCACACAATCTCAAAACTACTCTCCTCTCTCCCCTGGTGACGTCCGGGAAATATTCGGCCCTTTCCGCGTACGGGTGCTTTACACAGGATTCCCGAGAAACGGGTTTTCGCTGGTTTTTTCAAAACCTTGCACTCGCTGAAGCGTTTGCCTCATTTTCGGGCTACCGCTCGTTCCGAATCGTGTTCCCGTTGCAGTGGTGGCCTCATTTCCGCGCTTCCGCTCGTTCCGAATCGTGCTCCCGCTGCAGCGTTGGCGTCATTATTTCCAGCGTCATGCCCCGGCATGGTGTTCAGCTCTTGCAAATGAGCCCCCAAACCCGAAAAATGCTCACCGACCAAATTCGGTGCCGATTCGTTGATTTGGGGGTCGCAGAAACCCCACCCCATTTTGGAGCGTCGCCATGATCTTCAACACCATGCTATGCCATGTAATGCGATGCCCTGCTACGACATCCGACTTTGCGAATAGAGAGATCTACGCCATGGTAAGGGATGGGAGGAAGGGGTAGCAAGTCGTATATGACGCGAGCGCACCTAGCTCGACGAACTCTCACTCATCTCTCCTCCTATACCAGTCTTTTTTGTCCTCTTCCTCCTGCTCTTTCCCCCTTCTCTTCCTCACTATCCCTCATGGTCCTGCTTACCATCATTATCTTCCTTCTCCTTACTTATTCTCGTCCTACTCCCGTTCAGGCTCTGATCCTCAGATCGCCCTCGTTCGTCCTCGATGTCCTGTTCATTATCCCCTCCTGTTGTTCTGTCTCATCCTCATCACCTGTTCTGACTTTGTCCCTTTCCTTCGGTTCCTTCATCTACATCATGCCCTTCTTTGATTATGTTTCCTCATTGATTATCCTTTTCTGTTCACGATCTTCAGTTCTGTCCTTCTCTCACGTTGGTTGTGCTCCTCATCTCCGCCCTCCTTATCGTCCTCCCCGCTTTCCCGTTCAGGTTCCGTTCCTCCGTTATGTTATGTCCTCGTCTGTCTTGTGTATGGTAGTCTTTTCTGTCTTCTTCCCCTTGCTACTTACCCTTCTCATCCTCCTCGTCCTCTTCCATCAAATCCTCGCCATCATTTTCCCGTTCCTCCTCAGTTCCTTTTTCGCTGCTTCTTGTTTCCTCTCAGGGTCAAGTGTCCGGATCCGTGCTCCGACGTGACCCTCAACGACGGGGCGGAGCCTGGCGATATACCCACGATGGTGTCCTGGGGGTTCGAACTGGTCTTTCGGAGGGGGGGGAGAGAGGGGACGCCGACGAGGGGGGAGAAAGAAGGAAGATGAGGCTATGAGACTATGGGACCAATTCGAGGTCGGGCCTCGCTCGCGACAACAGGCGCGTCAGAACAGTCAATCCTCTGTGCCAGAGTGGCACAATTCGTGAAACCGAGCCTTCCAACGACGGTTGTGCTCGTGGGCAACGGATACGATGGCCGAGGGGTCCAGATAATCCGAGAAGGTTCGCCACCTCGGAGTCAACCAGCGGAAGAGGAAAGGAGAAACGGAAGGCAGACGAGGAGGAGGAGGAAGACGACGACGAGGGAAGGATGGAGGAGGAGGGATCAATTGGGTCGATTGCCTGCGGTGGGAAAGTGCTTCTTCCAGAGCTCCATTCTCGCACAGCTGCACTCCGTAGCCATTTTGACTTAAGCGGTATGGCTAAGAGTGCCGCTCGTCGTCTCGCTGCTCAATTTTCTTTGATACCAATGCGCTCGCACATCCAGGATACAGACTTAAGTCCTTCATACTTTATCCGCATCCTATGTTCGAATTTCGTCATCCCCCTTGCTTTTCTGTTTTTGTGAAACATGGCGCGTGCAAGCTCATTAGTTCATGGTCGTCCGGGCTGACTGGTCAGAGCAATGGGACTAGTCAGAGCACTGTGATTGCTCAGAGCACTGCAATTGGTCACGACATGGAACGTGCTCGTAATGTGACTGGTCAGGGCATCCGGGCATGGCCACGACCGCTCACAGTGTTCCATCATGCGTTTCAAAGCAATAACAGTGGGGAAGGAGCCGAAGCTTTGACAACTTCCGTTGTAAAGGAGCAATTGTCTACGATGCGGGCCTCTAACGCTTTCGACCAAGGCGTGATCTTGATGTGGACGTTCATAGGCTCTATCGGCAGCGGCGTGACAGCAATGTTCGAATGTCCCACGTGCCAGTTGCTCGAGTCGTCTGAGACTGGGAACGAGATTCTTACATTGCAGCACCTCCACGATTACAGTTCAAAACACCATTCTGAGCGTGTGCTGTAGAATTCCGAAGGGATTTCCCATCCAGGTCGGCTTAACAACAATAGAAGGCGATGCCTCATGAAGGGGATCTGGTCCATGCCGTGCCATTCTCGGGACATGTTCCAAACGTGCACCACGTGTTTCAGCCGCTTCAGCCATATGCCGCACCATCACTATCCGCCTGACTCCGCCCTTGAAGTTTAGGTCGACCATGGCGTCGGCGGTGCGGACCGACATCAAGAAAAGGGTGTTGTCCAGAGAAGATACTGATCCTGTACATTTGGGGTTGGATCGGTTCTCTGCGTAGCACTGGTTGGGCTCGCATCCGAGCCACGCTCCTTGCGACTAGTGCGGCAGTCCCAGTTACATTTGGAATTTGAGGCATGCATTTACACATGGACCCTCTCCGGTGACCTGGACCCCCAAGCTGCGCACAGATCCGAGGCCAGAAATGCCGCTGAGCGCCTTCTGTAAATCGTGCGGAAAAGGCATAGCCATGTGCCACTTGACGGAGCTAAGGTTGTGGCGGCTTTTCGAGTGGAAGTTGTTGCACCCCGAGTCTCAATCACTACAGAAGGGCGCCTTGTGGGAGTCTTGCCGCGCAGGTGAGGGTCGGTGCAGATGACGGGTGGCTAGTATCGACCCCGTAGTAGCGTCGACCCCCGCCGCAGCGTTCGTCGCCAAGATGTGGAGTTAAAACACATCTCGCACAGCCGCACTGCTGCCGCTGCCTCCCTTGCGTCCGCGGTGGGTAGCAGATGACGTGCACATTCGTTCGGCGTCGAGCGAGGGGGGAAATGAGATGGAGAAGGTCTTCTCAGAAGGCTCGGAAGTCCCGCAGCCTTCTTAGAAGTTCTCTAAGCCTTCCCCGAAGGCAGCAACAACTTCTCAGAAGGCGCGAGGGCTTCTGAGAAGTCCCGCCGCCCTCTGAGAAGGCCTTCTCCTTCTCGTTCTCCCCCCCCTCGCTCGCCGTCGATGCGTGCTTCCCCTCGGACTTTGGTGGAAGGGCTGCCCTCGACGGCAAGAGCCCCGCCCAGCACCCCCAGACATTGCTTTCTCTGCGTGCCTCCTCGCGGACTCCTGTGCAGCGGGGTTCACCCGAGCCGCTCCTGTGCGCTGTGGTTGAAGAGGAGGAGGAGGAGCAGGAGGAGGAGGAGGAGGAGGAGGAGGAGGGGGAGGAGGGGGAGAAGGAGGGGAGGAGGAGGAGGAGGAGGAGGAGGAGGAGGAGGAGGAGGAGGAGAGGAGGAGGAGGGGAGGAGGAGGGAGGAGGAGGAGGAGGAGGAGGAGGAGGAGGAGGAGGAGGAGGAGGCGGAGGGGGAAGAGGAGGAGGAGGAGGAGGTTGGGCTCAGCCTGCTGCGTCCTTGCACCGCGCCGGGCGCGGGAAAGGGGCAGATGCCCCCCGCGAAGGGGCAGAGGGGGGGTCGGAAGAGGCAGTGCCCTGAACCACTGAATCCCAGAGGGTTGGTGGGATGTCTGCCATCGCCCAAACTCGGGGGCAAACACACGTAAAGCACACACACGCACACTACATACATACCACACACACCACACACACACCACACATATACATACCACAGACACACCACACACAACACAACACACACCACACACACACCACACACACACACCACACACCACACACACACACACAACACACACCGCACTCACAACACACACACACACACCATACACAACACACACACACACAACACACAACACACACAAGCACACACGAGGAATGAACCAACTCACAAGAAAATACTGTGTGTTGTGCGTTGTTCTTCCTCGTTTTGACCCTCTTCTCCTCGGACCCGATGCCGGTGTGCACTGGGCCACGCGCGAGGTGCTCTCCTCCGACTCGTACAACTGCGACGAGCAGAACGAGGGTTGCAGCACCAACGACATCGCGAACCTGACGGTGCGGCCCCCTGCCTTGACACACCCCGTCTATTATGTGTCTCGCGTCATTTGCTCTCTCATTCATCCTCTTCCTCCTCGGTAGCAGATTCTACCACAACATTCGTCATTGCTAGATGTATTATGCGTCCTCTCCCTCGTCACTGTTCGTTCTCATCTCTCATCGCACGTTTTCTCCACACTGCTTCCTGCCAGTGGTTGCTCGTCTTGGTCCTCGCCGCCTTGTGCGATGCGCAGTTGTCGTGTTCTGTTGAGGGCTACCGCTATAGTGATCGTTTTTGTTATTCATTGTTTTGCTGATCGGCGCGGGTCCTCGCATACCCGCTTCCCCCTCCATGGAGTAGATCTTGTAGAGGCCTCCGGCCAGTGCCGCCGATCCGGGACGATCCCGTTGCCAGAAGGACGCTTTCGCCCCAGCGCGCTTGTTCAAACGTAAGTGGTTTGGAAACAGTTTGGAAGCATAGCGTGGGCTTCTGAAGGGGCCTCTACGACGCATCTTCGAGGCCTCCTGGGGGGGCATCTTGGAGGTAATTGTTGAGCCTCTTGGGGGCCTTTTGGTCTTCTGGGGGGGCATGCAGGAGGCATCCTGGAGGCCTCCTGGGGGTGTGTAGGAGGTAATTCTTAAGCCTTCGGGAGCGCTTTTGGGCACCTTTTGGGGGCCTCTTCAGGGCCACTTGGAGCCTCTCGGGGTTTCTTGGGGACTCCTAGGGCCATTTTGGTGCCTCCGCTGTAATGGGCCCTTCTGGGGCCGTCATGGAGCCCTCTTGGGCGCTTTGGGGGCCCGTCCTGGGGCCCGCTTGGGCTGTCTTGGGGGCCTCTCGGGCCGTCTTTGGCCCTTCTTGGGCTGACTTGGGGCTCTCTTGAGAGCCTCTGGGCCTGTTTCGGGGGTCTCTTGGGCAGTGTTGGACACTGCGAAGGCCGAAGAAGCGAACATGCAAAATATGCACGGTTTCCCAAGGGAGTGGGACAGATTTTTGGTCTTTGGGCACTCTTAGGAGGCGTCGGGAGGGTACGTTGGAGGCTTCTGGAGCCGTCTGAGGAACAGATTGATCGTCTTGGAGCAAGGTTTCGGCCACTCAGGGCCCTCTTGGGCCGTCTGGGCGGCCGCTGTTTTTTCTAAGCCCGCGTTCGGCCGACCCGGAGTACCCCGTGGATCAGACAGAGGGGGGCCCTCGATTCAGCCCCCCCCCCCCCCCAGAGGTGGTTCAGAAGTGCCTCGCAAACCCTTTTTGGGGCGCTCTCGGGGCGCCGTCGGGCGCTCTCGGGGCCCCTCTTGGCCCCCAGGGCCCCTCTCGGCGTCTTGGGGCCGTCTGGAGGCCTCGGAAGCCCGTCCAAAGCGAAAAGACGACAACGCAACAATCATTGATCTGCCGATGGTTTTGGAGCCATTGTGGCCTCTGGGGGGAAGGGCTTGAGGGCTCGGAGGGCATTTGAAACCATATATGGGCCATCTTGGGACCATCTTGGGGCGTCTTCGATGCATGTGGGAGGCTATCTTGAGCCATCTGCAGCCATCTTGAACCATCGTGGAGGCCATCTCGGGCACTCTGAGGCCTTCTCGGAGCCATCTTGGACCACCTCGGGCGCTTTGGTGCGTCGCGCCCCCCCCCCTCCCAGGCCCACGGGTGGGGGGGCGCGGGGGAGGGGGGGGGAGGGGGGGGCGGCGGGGGGGGGGGGGGGCTGCTGCCCGCCCGCCCGCAAACCGTCTTGCTCTGCCCCCCCCCCACCCACCCCCCCACCACCCCAAACGCATGCGCAACGCCTGGGACTCAGCGCGTCCGCCGCAGACGCCACGGCTTCCAGACACATCAGACCCCGGAGGCCCCAGCGCGCCAGGCGCGTCAGGTGCGGCACGTGCTCCACGCGCGCCCAGTGTTCCGCGCGCTCCTGCCGCGCCAGGTGCGCCAGCCACAGGGAACAAATAGGTGATCTTGGGCCCGGCTTTGAGTTTTTGTTGGCAAGGTTTGGAGCCGCGTGGAAACTTCGAAATCCCATCGGAAGCGGCAAGGCGAAAACGCAGCAGCCACTGATGTGTCAAACCGGTCGGTCGACCACTTGCGCTCAGAAGGCAGGGGGGATTTGATGGCGCCCCAGCCGCCCCTGTAAAATGCCAATTCACACCGGTCGAGGGGCGGCCGCGCATGTTCCAAATATGAGGGCCGAGTGCGTTTCGCGTTGTTTCTCTGGCAGGGATAGCGGCCCTCACGGGGCTAGCGCAGTTCCAGTTTGACCGCCCGCTGCGCGGGTGCGGGTTGCACATGCATCAGTAGTAGGGAACAGTCACCAAGACACCATCAGATAGCAAGCCGTCTAGCTCACTCCCACCCGCCTTCCCAACGCATAAGTAGCACCCGAGCCTCAGCATGTCCAGCGTTTAGCGGTCGTCTTTGGACGCGCAGCCATTGGGAATCAAAGCCGAGCCCATGCGCGCGACGCCGGTGCAAGGCGCGACGCCGGGGCTTGGCGCGCCACGCGCGCTTGGCACCCCTGGGGCCCGCGCGCGCCAGGCGCGTCGGGGGGCAGACCCGCTGCGCGCCTCCGCGCGCGCCAGGTGCGCCACATGCCCCAGCCGCGCCAGGCGCGCCACGTTCGGGGCGCGCGCAGAGTCCACCAGGTGCGCCTGCGCACGCGACCGCACGCATCGGGAAACATGCCGGCCCCCACCATCCACGTCGAAAAAACAATGTCCTGCATTGTGTCTCAGGGATGGTAGCCCTGCGCGCAGCGGGCAATTTGACGACACCTTTGCCGCCCCTGTCAAAAGAAAACAATTCAATGTGCTCGCGGGCCTCGCGAACGCGATTCCAGATTTTGACCCAAATCGTTTGTTGTATTGAGATGTGTCAGGGATGGTGTGGGCGGGGCCCTCACGGGGCCTTCATTGTTCCCGATTGGCCACGGGTCCTTTGGAGGAGGGGGCGTAGATTCATCCGGAACAGCGGCAAACCCCCCCCCCGAGCAGGGGAAGCAGGGGTTGCGGGGAGGGAGAAGACAAAGCTCTTTAAACCACCTAGCCCCCGGGGGCTGGTGGGAGCATTATGGAGATTGGCCTGGGCTCAGATGCAGACGGAGAAGTGGCATTGCAATTCCTATCTTTGCCCCTGCAACTCGGCGTCATAATCAGAGAGTCTCGACGGGAATGGCGATTCCAATCGCGCGCCCTACTGGGGGCTGGGCCGACGTCGGCGAGATCGCGCGACATCCCTCGGGCCACCGGGGCCGCCGCCCACGCGTAGCCCCCTGGCTGCGCGACTTTTCCGCCGCCCTGCAGGCGCGCGCCCTCGAATTCATGTCGGAGGGGCGCGGCGAAGACAGACAGTGCCGAATGCGGCGCGGCCCTGACGAGGGCGGCGGCTGGAACGGTCAGTGCCAGATGCGCGCCGAACGAGGGTTCGGGGGGGCCTCCGAGATTGACCCGACAAGGAAGGTCTACGAGGAGGTAAAGCTAGTAGACATGGTTTCGACGCCCCTGCCGATTGCGATGATGCGCGGCACTGCTGACCAGGCACTGAAGGCACATATCATGGGAAGGCTGGCGGAGCGTCGCGCCCTGGCCGGGATGCAGATCAGGGCGATGGCGGGGGGGGGGGGGGGCTTGCACGCGCAATTCACTATGAACGAGTCAGTACAGGTTTGGAGTGGATTTGGGCATCGAGATATTGTTACAGGGCGGAATGCACGAGACTCGCTCCAGTAAGGAAACTGCGCCGCTTAACCGCGGCGCGAAATAGATCAACCCAACCAGGTACCTCAGTCAAGCGGTCGACATCAAGAAACGCAGGGTCTGTCTCAGCCCGCAGCGCGAATCACATCGAGCTTCTTCCAAACCCCCACAGGGGCATGTTGTCGATGGGAACGGGAGAATACTCTCCAGCGAGGATGAGTTTACGTCGCGCGACCGCAGACAGACCGCCGCGGCGAGCAATTGGACCACCATTTGGCGCCACTCCACCACTGGGGCCACCACCGCGAGACGCCCAGCGACCGCGAGGCACAGCGCCGCGAGTCCAGCCCCCTGGCTGAGACGGCGCATGTCTGGAGGAGCGCCCGCAACGGTCGTCGCCTCAGCCTGGACAATTCAGACGTCAACCAGCCCCCAGACAACGCTCTTCAAGACGAGGTTGCCAGTTCAGCACCAACACTTCGTTCGTCATGAATCAAGACGAAACAAGACCTCAACTCGGCCCCGACACTGTGTTTGCCAGTACCGAAAGCGTCTGTCTCGATCAGTTCGGCCCCGTCGCACTGTTCGCCCTGACGGAGTGCGCGGCGAGGGGGCCCGTCGATCGGTTTCGCCAAGACGGAGGCGGGCCGTCGCGGGGGTTCGCTGCCCCGGAGGGAGGCCGTCAATGGGTCTCCCCAAGGGGGCTCGTCAACTCGGATGAAGGTCGCCCAGGGCGTTCGTCAACCCGCCGTCAGCGAGGTTCGCCAGCTCGGACGGAGGCCGTCAAGGGGTTTGACAACTCGGAGAATTGAGGGCCGAATCTTCTCACGCAGAGAGATCCGACGGCCAAGTCATTTCATGGCGAGGGAGTTGAGGGCTCGAGCGCCCGACGGAGCGCGCGCAGTTGCCTGTCGCGACGCCGAGGCGCACCTCCCGACCAGCCGCCCGCGACACATTAAAAACGCCACCGTTGCGGCCGACCGGCACGGCGCGGAAGCGCTCGCCAAGCCGCGGCTGCGCGTTGTGCCGCGGCTGTGCGTTGTACATTACTGGCTCGTACGAGTTTGTGCCGACGTCGCAGGGTGGCCCAGTTCTAGCTTCGGCAGCATCTGCACAACGCGTCGCCCCGAGCCCGACGACGCGAAGATGCTTGGAGGCCCTTCGAAAAGCGGGCGACCGAGTCCACAGGGAAGAGCAAGCCCACTCCCATTGGCATTGCTAGACCGACTGGAGCACAACTATCAGCCACTGGCGCTACCAGCTGCCAGTCCAGTCGTCGCTCCCGGCGTCAGCCAGCGCCCTTTAAGGGCGCCCGCAGCGCCATCGATTCGTGGAGGGGCGACGGAGCCGAATGCGCACGACCAGAGCACCCATGGAGATGCAGACATCGGTTGCCTGGGGGCTAATGCTAACGCAGCGCGCGACATATTCTGTCTTCTACGTCATGCGGATGAAGCTCGAGACGGCCTTCACCTACGCAACGCCCATATATTCAGCAGCGAGTGGCCGCGCAAGCTGCCGCTGAGGCGCTGCAGCAGCAGGGTCTGCCAATCCACCGTTGTGGATTGGACGCTGCCTTACTCATGAAGGCCAGGTGCCACTGCCCACGATTGTACCCCATCCGCGCTCGCGGTCTTCATCCGCCCAAGGCTCTTGGACCTGCAACGCCAAGTGAGACTGCCAGCGGGTCCGCCAGCTTTGCCGGATGCGTTTGCAAGACAGTCGGGAAGACCGCCAGCCCACCTTCCGAGCAGCGGAACCGAAAACCACTGCCCACGCTGCGCCGTGAATGCAATTCGCCAGATGTCCCCCGCAAGGGAGGGCAATCGCGCCTTGCTACCACGGTCTGGTTTTGACCCCCAACGAGTACGATTATGCGAATCGATGCAATGGGGTGGGGCGCGGCCCAGTGCCTTGCGACGGCATGGCAAGCGCCCCCATCCTAGTGGAGTGCCCAGACAAGTGCAAACGAGCTATATTCATGGGGAATGCCGCGACCAACGCAGAGCCCCCAGCCATGTTGGGCAATGCCTCCATGCAAGATCAAGACGCCATCCTCATCCTGCGGACTGGCGAAGGACATCTAGTCTTTCTTGGGGGCTAGGGCCGCGCGATTCAGCTCGCGAGACCAGCCGAGCTGGAGTCTTCCCAGCGTGCATCCCTCAATCCCTCGCGATCATGTCGGCGTCCAAATGATGGCAGACACCATCGAGGCGGAGCGAGACACCTTCCCGCCGGATTATCGCTGCCTGGGCATGGAGACAGCGGGCGACTTGGGCAACCGAGGGGACTCGACCCAGAAATATTCGTCATCCTCACGATGGGGACAGGCTGCTGCAGGCCCACCAGAAACATGTTCCAGCCAGGGCCGTTCGCCAGCTGCACAGAAAGTCCGCGCTCCACTTGTAGAAGACACGCATGGTTTGCGCCAGCCTCCGCGCCGCTATCACGTCGCGCGCGACGTCTGCCGCGGTGGAATGCTGTTTTCTGATGGCGCGCAATATCAAGGCAAGCTCCCCAAAGGAGAACCGACATTATTACTATTAAGTGCAGCCTTTGACTTGCACATTCGCGTTCCCCTGGCAGAGATCCCATGGCCCGGTGGCCCAAGCTTAGCGACCTCAAGGTGGACGTCATCATCTTCGGACCGCCAGGGCGGCTGCTCAAACGCCGCGATGGACCCCAGAGGTCCGAGGGGCTCCACAGCGGCAGCCGTTCTGAGCATAGTGGGGGGGTGGGCCCTCTTGCTGGCCCCTGTCAGAGCTTTCGTGGAGCTGCGACTCCGTAAAAGCACGCGCGTTCCCGCCTTCGTGCAGTCTGGTTTTGTCGTGGAACCACGGCTCCATGCTCTGTGGTGGTCGTCGCGGACACGCGACTCCCATCAATCTACCTGCGCCACGGCGGGATCAGCCTCATCGGTCTTTGCCGGGGCATTCTTGGCTGACCATCGGGCATGCCCAGCACAACATATTATGTTTCGGCTTATGTTTGCCTCAATGCATGTCGGTGCTAGGCAGGCTGGCACATGGGAACATGACCCATTGTTTCGCGCTCGCTATCTTATTTTCTCAGTGACTGTCTTGGTGACTGGAGTTGTCCGTTACCAATATCGAAGTATTAGCTTTAGGCCGTTGCTTTGCAGGGCGGCAGCGACCGTGCTGCGTTCCCCCCCATCGATTGTGAGGGAACGCGTCGGGGATTGGGCGTGTGATGCTTGGCTCGACCGCTGCCGTTCTGGTCGAAGGCAGCGCCGCCCTGTTTGCATTCGCGGTCGGCGCTGCCTGCCCGACAATTTGTAGCATTGCGTAGTAAAGAGGCGGCTTTACGATCCCACCGCCGCCATTGCCATATACGCGATGGCGCTCTCGCTGTCGACTTCGGGACCTTGAAGCGCCGTGAAGGAAACCTTTTGGACACTGACAACTGATGAGTTTTGGGCCAGTCCAGTTCGTTCTGAAGGCACGGCTTCGGATATGTGCATACGCGCGTTCACACAGTGACATACATACCCAGATATCATGGCAGTGGGGGTGGTAGTTCTCTGGGGGGTCTAAGTTGAAAGGGCGCCGTCGAACAACATTGCAAAGGGGGTCCTGATTCTGGATCGACGTGTTGATTTGGGTTGGGTTCTGGAATGTGATGCGGTCGCACAGTTTTTGTTGTGTGTGTGGGGGGGTATCCACACGCGTCGTCCACACTTGTTTGGCCCCTGTGCTATTGTGAGATAGTGTGCACTTACATACATGTACACATTCTCTGACCGTCGCCGCACGTACGAATCCCGTGTTGCGAGGTGGCCCGTCCTGGGGGCCTCTTGGGGCCATGTCCGGCCGAAGCGAGCCGCCTTTGGGATCTCTTGGCGTTGTTTATGGGCGGTCTGGAAGCCGAGTGGGCTGCTCGAGGGATTCCGTCGTCAGTTTGAAGCCCCTCCTGGAGCCCTGTCGGTCGACGTGGAGCCTTCTTGGGCCATCTTCAGTCTCTTGTTACGTCGTTTCGGGCCTCTCCTGGGCCCCTCTTGAAGCCTCTTGGCCGCAGTTTATACTATATTGGGTCGAGGTTTGGGGGCTCGCGGACCGTCTTGGAGGCTCTGAGGACCGAGAAGGCGAGCGTTACCAAATCCTACAAACCTATGGAACACCTCTAACGGGGCCCTCTTCGAATTCCAAGTAGGCCGTCGAGAGAGTGAGGGGGTGAGGGAGGGGGTAGGGAGGATAACGGGAGGAGGATAAGAACGATGCAGGTTTTCGGGTTTCCAGGGGCCTCTTCAAGGCTTCTGTATACACATGCAGACCTTTAGGGACCCTCCTCTTCCCTTCTCCTGTCTCCCGACTCGTGTTTTTTTCCTTACTCTGTCATCTGGTTTCCTTTCCCTGGCGCGCGCCAGTGACCTAGGGAGCTTCTCTGTCCAATATCCTGACTGTTTGGAACTAGTGTACAGCGGTGACGACGGGGACGACCTCGAGATCGATCTGGAGAAGGAGGACGACGACGACGCGGACGAAAAGAAGGAGGACGAGGGGGCTAATTTCACGTGCTGCGAAGGAACGCCTGCCATTACATTGCTTCCGTATCGTGTTATGGTAGAGTAAGCCGTGAAACATGAATATGATGGGATGTTGTGGGCTTGTATGATGCTTCAACAAAAAGCGCACCACACTGTCACACTACATTGTCATCCCCATCTTGCTGGTATGTACATGTGCTGCGTGTGCGTGGTATCCCCTTAGCCTTTTCCCGACCCACGTCGGTGCTCAGCGAGACCGAGACCGAGCTTGTTTTCGAGCATGACCACGGCTTGTCGGTAGACGAGGAGATCACTCTGGGGGCCAACATCGACATCGAATGTGCCGACGATGACATCTCGTGCATTGACGAGAAGGACGAGCAGATTGCCACCCTCAAGGGAGTCTTTGACTACGCCGACCTCGCCACGCACACCTCCGACGCCCCAGACACGTACATGGCAGCGCACAAGATCACATATGCTTCGGGCAATATCCTCAGGCCTCCTGCCAGCGATTGCTTGTAATTCGTGTGCTTCCCTTTCGTTCCGCTGATAGCGTTGGACATTTCAGGTGGAAATTGCGGGAATGCCATTCAGTCGTGCTCTCGGTCAGTTATCTCCGTCTTTGCTTTGCAGCATTATGTCAGCCTTGCGTTTCGCCGCCAACGCGTCTGATTCTCCCATGCATGGTGGGCCCAGGGAGAAGTTAATCTGCACTCCCGGGCGCATCCGTCGCACTAATTCTTGGAGCGTTTTCGAGGGCTCTCTGGAGGGCTCTGTCAGAGACTGTGTGACCCTTCTTGGGCCCTTGTGGGGGTTGTCGAGAAGGCCCCCGACCGTCTTGAGCAGTCGGCCATGCGCTTCTGAAGAGCCGCGGCCCACTGCGGAACCCGCGTGGGCGAGGTCCGCAGTCCCTGAGAGTCCAAGGGCCGAGGGCCCGAGGAGCACGAGAGCGCTCGGGATCGGTTCTAAGAGTGGGCATTTGTGAGCGTCGGTTTCGCGGAGAAGCCAGCAGGTTCGAACCGAGGGAGGGCGAACGTTAGGCGGAAGGTGAAGAGGGCATCCTCCCTCCCTGGGCAATTCAAGGATCTCCCGGCCTCCTTCCCCATCCAGGGACGGGCATGTTCACCCGGACGGGTTCGCCTGGCGGGTTCGAGCCTTCCTTCGTGAGCAAGTGTGCCAGTGGCGATGTGTTGTCGTCCCGCCCGGATGCTCTGGAGCTCACGGGCTCTTGCGTTGTTTGTGTTTGAATTGAAGTTGTTGTGTCAGTTTTGTGCCAGAATTGCGTCGCGTTGCAGTGATCAGGGTTGTATTGCAGTGCCTTCAATTGATTCGCACTGATCAGCGTTGCTTTGATATGTTCTGAGTTGCGTTGTGCTGGTTCGGATAAAGTTATTGTGAACCGTATCGAATTGCAAGCGGATGCATGGCTTCGCTGCGCAGTTCCTTGTACTGCGTTGCATTGCTTCCCTTGGTTTCGCATGAATTGTAAGTGCGCCACTTCTCTGATGTGCGTTCTGGCCACTGTGAAATGATGTGTCCCGCATCGCGCTGTGTCGTGTCACCATGGCTCGCCAAGAGTTGCTTGAATGTGGCGTGCTTCGCACTGCCTTGCTCCGCACCGCACTTCTTTGCAGGAAATCAGGACGGGAACAAACACGCAGACACAACTAACCATCGATCCCCAGGAAAGTATGGGAAAATATTGGAAGTGGGGGGGGGGAAGACGAAAACCCAGAAAATATGAACAACTAGTGGGAATTCTATCATTTGTGTGTATTTATTTGTGTGTCCCAGGGCCCCTTTAGGAAGGCCTGCCACCGATCAGGATCGCAGCGAGCTCGTCCTGATGCCCCAAGAGGGCCCGGAAACGGCTCCCCAGAGGCCCAGGTGGCAGGGCAGCGCCCAGCGTGATAGCCTCGCGACGCCTGGGGGGCTGGGACTGCACTGTCCAGCCTTGGAGGCCGCGGCGGCTCTTCTCTCACGCTACTCCTTCTCTTTCTCCCTCTCTCTCTCTCTCTCTCTCTTAGTTTCTCTTTGTTTTCTCTCTCCGTCTCATTATATCTATATATCTATATCTATATATATATATATATATATATATATATATATATATACCGGGGAACGGGACTTGGGCCGCCAGATTGGGACCTCGGACCCCCATGGGGGCAACGGGGCTCCAGGACGCTCCCGGGGGCCCGAACCTCGACCACAAATGTGGAGCCCGGGGCCCGGGCCGCCTTTGAGAGGGCTGAAATTGCCGTCGGAAGCCCTCAGACAGCCGTCCCGGCAGCCCTGGACGTTCTCGAGAAGTTCCCAAGACGCTTCAAGATGCCGCCCTAGAGCGGCCCGAGAGGCCAAAATCGTTGATTTTAATTTGTTGTTTCAATGTTCCTAGGACGCCCCCGCAGGACGTTAAGAGGCTCCTAAGAAGCCCCGTGAGGCTCCCAAGAGGCCCCCGGAAGCCCCAAGAGGCCCCCAAGGGGCCCCCAGGGAAGCCCCCTGCGGGCTCCCAAGACACTTCGGTAAATCGTATTTCCCAGATACCTTTCGGGGAACATGATTTCTTGGGTTTCTGCACACCGCCCCAACCATGTTTCCAATAGGCTTGCCGACAAGGCCAAAAAGGCGCCCCTCGGTAAGACCTCAGAGGTCCCCCTCTTAGAGAGCCGAACAAATCATGCTCCTGGAAAGCTTCAGGGGAACATGATTCTCTATCTCGGAGTAACCCCCGGGGGGGGGCGGGCCGCTGCCTGTTCCCCTCATCGGTGCCCTCCGGGGGTTGCGGGGGGGATTTCCAAAGCTCCCGAGGCGGCCCGAGCCCGCCCGAAGCAGGCCACGACAGGCTAAGGGGGTCCCGAGAGGGCCCAAGCCGGTCCCACGAGGCCCCGAAGACGCCCGAGATGCCCTCAAGACAGCCGACGAGGACTCCAACACGCTCCAGGACGGACTCAAGAGGCTCCCAAGAGTGCCCTGGAAGGCAAGATTCTTTCGTTTTCCGAGTGTGTTGGATTTTGGTGTTCTCGCTTCTCCTGCTTTCCAGCGCTCCCTCACGGCCTCGGAGGCCCTTCAGATCGCTCCAAGAAGGCCCACGAGGCCCCGACGAGGGCCTTAAGACGGCCCAGGAGGCTCCCTAGACAACGCAATTGTGCCCCAAGAGCGCGCCAAGAGAATGTTCAGAGGGGTCCCGAGGCGGCCCGGGTCCGCCCCGAAGCAGGCCACGACAGGCGAATGGAGGTCCCGAGAGGGCCCTAGACTGTCCCAAGAGGCCCCGAAGACGCCCAAGATGCCCTCAAGACGGCCGACGAGGACTCCAACACGCTCCAGGAAGGACTCAAGAGGCCCCCCAAGGGGGCCCTGGGAAGCAAAATTCATTAATTTTCGGATGGTTTTTGAAGGATTTCGACGTTCTCGCTTCCCCCGCTTCCCAGCGCTCCCTCACGGTCTCGTTCGGAGGCCCTTCAGATCGCTCCAAGACGGGCCACGAGGCCCGGAAGAGGGCCCCAAGACGGCCCAGGAGGCTCCCCAGACAACCCAATTGTGCCCCAAGAGCTCCCCACGAGAGGGCCCCAAGACGGCCCAGGGGCTCCCAGGGAACGCCCAAGAGGCCCCCCAATACACCCCAAGAAATCATGTCCCCAGAAAACCTTCGGGGACATGGTTCATCATGGGCCCGAGAGTTCCTGGAAGCTCCCATTGGGCCCCCAGGGAACGCCCAAGAGACCCCCCAACACACTCCAACAACCCATGTCCCCAGAAAGCCTTCCAGCGACATGGTTCATCATGGGCCCGCGAGTCTCCGGAAGCTTCGAAGTACCATCATGCTGCAGGAGAGTTGTCTGGGAAGTTGATTGGGAACATGACTGATCGCCTTCTCGCGGCCCTCCGCAGATCGTTTCTCACAAAGTTGCCCCAAATGCCCTCTTGAACCGACGACGACGACGAAACGACGAAGACGGCTGTAGACATGTAGGTATGCGTGTACGTATGTATATGTTTATATATATAGATGTATGTGTGTGTGCATATGTATGTATACGTATGTGTGTGCAAATGTGTTTTATCTCTACATGTATATGTTCACACATTATTTATACATACGTCGCACCCCGCAGTTGCTGAGACGAGTGCGGGGGCGGCGGGGACGTCCGCAGTCTGCGGGGCTCTGAAAAGACCCGTCGCAGGCGCTTGATTTCCGCAGGCGTCGCGGGTGGGTCGTGGGTGGGTCGCGAGTGGGTCGTGGCCGACGCACACGCGTGTGGCCAGCATGGTGTTATGTGCAGGAAGCTTGCCCCCCAAGCGCGCGCGCAAGGGCGTTCGAGTGATTTCGGCAGGCGGCGCGGGGAATCCGTGCGGTCGAATTTGAGGAACAATGATAAACAACGGAATGATTGCTGTAAGGATTCGCAAGACCGTGCGCGCACACCTTTTTGAACATGGATGTTACAAAGTCACCTGTGTTTTATATGGTTTCGGGACGTTCAGCTTTGAAATCCCTGCTACAGGTCAGGTGCTTGAAGGATTTCGGCATGCGCGCGCCGACGCGCGCGTGCTCATTTCGTCCCTTTTTGTTTGTCCCAGGGGTTCTTGCGACAGCACGCGCGCAAGAGCGCCGAATGATTTTGACGCGCGCGCGAGAGGCACGCATCGCCGATGTAGCGGCGGTGCATTGCCGATGTATCGGCGATGCGGCGAGATCATCCGACCCCAGCTGCT